AAATCATGAAGCTGCTACAGAAGCAAAAGAAAAATAGAGCTATAACAAGTTATAATGTAAAAACGTTGTTTTAACAACATAATTTTTATGTTTGCACAATACACTACCATGTTATTATGACATACTTGCATTTGGAAATATAAAATTACTCTAAGGAAAAGATAGATTAATTAATCAAAATATAATATTGTTCTTAAAATATAATATTTATGTTGTTCTACTGTGATATTACATTGTGCAAGTTTAAAAATTATGTCTGTAGAACTGTAAAGATTTTGTGTTATTAAATTACATTTTATCACCGGAACATAATGTGCAGATTAGTGACTCAGGCAGTGTCTTGTTTACAGTCCCAAGTATAGCACAAACCAGGAGAGAGACATAAAGAGACAGCCATAATGCATAATAATCAGTACCCAAAACAGATACTTGGAAATGGACTGAGACTGAACCTAATTTAAACACAGAAATCATAAATCTTGCTAAAAATCCTTCCCACTGATAAATAAATCAACCAGCACATGCACACTTCTTATTTAAAGCTGATTTAATATATTAGAAAAAGGTTTGCAGGTTTTTCCATTACATTTTTTTTGTTTCTCAGCTTAATATCTCGATGTGCTTGGAAGACTTATTTTCAACAAACAAGTTCAACATTTTCCAGTTAAAGCAAATGCATACCAGACAGAATGTGTGTTTAGATCAGTGGTCCCCAAACTACGGCCCGCCTCCACATTTGGTCCGGCCCCCTGAACAATACCAGAGAGCATTCAGATTGTTTTTTTTTTTTTTTTTCATTTACCATATTTTCCAGACTATAAGCCATTTATATGTGGATTTTTCTTCAACCACCAGGGGTCTCTTTAGCAGGAAGTGAACTGAACAGATGCTTAGAACAGATAAACGTGTGGATGTGCCAAAACTTTCTAGAGAAACTCATCCGTGCGTTTATCTTTAGTCACATTGATTACTGCAACAGCGCCTTCACAGGTCTGACTAATAAATCAATCAAACAGCTGCAGCTGATCCAGAACGCTGCTGCTCACGTTCTCACTAAAACCAGGAGGATAGAGCACATAACACCAGTTTTAAAGTCCCTACATTGGCTCCCTGTAGCTCAAAGAATAGACTTTAAAATACTGTTGTTAGTTTATAAATCACTGAACGGTTTAGCACCAAAATACATTAAAGATCTGTTATTGCTGTACCAACCGTCTAGACCCCTCAGATCTTCTGGTTCTGGTCTGCTCTGCATCCCCAGAACCAGAACCAAACGAGGAGAAGCAGCATTCAGCTTCTACGCACCACAAATTTGGAACAAACTTCCAGAAAACTGTAAAACAGCTGAAACACTGGGTGCCTTTAAATCTCAACTTAAAACCCACCTGTTTAGAGTTGCTTATGGCTAAATTAGGGTTAGAGTGCGGGTTTTGATGTCTTCAATGTTTTTAATGTTTTTATCTTTAATTTTATCTTTGTTTTTATCTCTTTATGTAAAGAAGTTTTAAAGGTTTGAGTCCTTGTCAAATGGCGGTTTAACTAAAGTCCTACAGACTCGGACAAATGTCTGTGGTATTATCCAAGAGTATCATCCAAGAGTTCCCAGCTAAGTGCAACCGCCTTGGGGGTACTGATAGTACAGGTGTGGTTAAATGAATGCACGTATTGTGTTATATTAGAAAATGGTTTGCAGGTTTTTCCATTACACTTATTTGTTTGTTTTTCAGCTTAATATCTTGATGTGCTTGGAAGATTTTTTTCAACAAACAAGTTCAACATTTTCCAGTTAAAGCAAGTTCATACCAGACAGAATGTGTGTTTATATCTTACATGGCAGACATATGCAGAGGTATTAATTGGAACTAAAAACTGAAAGCATTGTGCAACTGAGATGCATTTCTCAGCCAAGTTTATTTACTCAGCCAACGGTTACAGGCCAACCATGAGAACCTCAATACCAACATGTCCCTACTCATATGTTGAAACATTTCTGTGGAACTGTGCATTCAGTTAGAGATTGCCCTAGGGAAAAAAAACATATACTTTAGTATAATTCAAACATGCTAGTTGTATAAGTACATTTTAAGTATGCTAGGTATTAAGTGTGCTATGAAGTATACTAAGAGCATGCTTTTACCAATTTTGACATTATAACTTTAAATACACTAAAATATAATTGTTCCACATTACAATTTTAAGAAATATATTAAATAAAACTATACTTTAAGAGAACAAAATATGTATTTGCTCAAGTGTACCAATGAAAAAATATACTTTTAAAGATATTTTGTGGATAGTTGAAAATGCTCAAAAAAATATATTTTTTAATTCACTTAAAGCTTACTTCAAAAGTAAACTATTGAATAAACAGAAATTTCAGTATGTTTCAGATTATGTCTGAGTGTATACTTTAGGCTAATGAGGTATGACTTTTTAAGTGCCTTAATAATCTTTTACTGCTTTTGTTAAAATGGCAAAGAATAATAATAATAAAAAAAACAATCTTTAACTTGCAGTAGTGCAGTGAATGGGAATGTTGTGTCGTTGACCCTCACTGTTCTTTGGAAGGAAAAATGTCAGTTTGTCTGGAGTAATACTGGTATACTGTGACATTGTATTAAAACAATACTCTGTTCCTGGTGTAATATTTTTCACATTCCCTCTAAAGTGTACTTATTTTATTCCACTAATTTTCAAAAGCATATTTTCTGTAAAGTTTTAATATATTGACAATGTGTACAATTCTCTGATAGCATATTTGCAAATGTATCCTTGAAAAATGTGAATATATTGAATATACAATGTAATTTCTTTCAGCCAGAAAGTGTGTTAATTGATCATTTTACATATCTGATATGTTGGCTACAAGATATGTAGCCAACATATCAGGCTACATATCTGGTAGCCTGATATGTTGGCAGTACTGTAGTGTGTATGAAGCATGAAATGTACAGTTATATTCATAATAAGAGCAGTGTGTTTAAAAAGGTGAGTAAACCTCAAAATTCTTCAAATAAATTGTATTTTAATGAACACAAAGTAATTAAATATTACAATATTTTACAGAAAGTCAAGAAATAAAATGTTCAAAAAAATTGCAGTGTTGACCATCTTTCTTTACAAGCTCAAAAATAAACTGCATAAACTAAGAAATGCTGGAAGATTCATCTTTCCTGAGAATCATGAACTAATATTGCATAGCCGCGGTTTCTGATAACTGCTTCGCATCTGTGGTTCATGGAGTCAACCAACTTCTGGCACCGGTCAGCAGCCCAGGACAACTGTACTATTTTCCCCAATTTCCCGTTTTTTTTTTTTTTTTTTTTTGGTTTTGCCTTATGAACAACATTTTTTATGTAAACACACAAGTTTTCTATGGGATCAAAGCCCGGGGATTGTGCTGGCCACTCCATTACTTGAATTCTGTTTGTCTAGAACCATGATTTTACTCACTTGCTGGTGTGTTTGGGGTCATTGCCTTGTTGAAACACCCATTTCAATTGCATTTCCTCTTCTGCATACGTCAACATGACTTCTTCCTGTATTCTGGTGTATTCAAACTGATCCATGATCCTTGATATACGATAAATAGGACCAACGCCATAGCATGAGAAACATCCCCATATCATGATGCTTGAACCACCATGCTTTATTGTCTTCATTGTGTACTGTGGCTCTAACAAACTGTCTGTGGCCCTAAGAATCAAAAAGAACAATTTTACTTCCATCAGTCCACAAAATATTACACCATTTCTCTTTAGGCCTGTCAATATGTTCTTTGGCAAATTGTAGCTGCTTCAGCACGTCTCCTTTTTTAACAATGGGACTTTGCAGGCAGTTTGGCTTCACATAGACATCATCTGAGTGTTGCAGTACTCACATGCAAGCACAGATCTTTAATCCTCCTGGAGCTGATCACTGAGCCTTTGCCATTTTGGTACTTCTCCGAATAGCTGTTTTTCTTTTACTTTCCTGTCTTTGGCTGCCATTTTAAAGCATTGATACCATTTTAACTGAACAGTCTATCATTTTCTGCGCTTCTTTATAGGTTTTCCATTTTCTATACATCCTTCTGGGATTACATCCTTAGTGGGGTTGGGAGGGGTGCTGGTGCCTATCTCCAGCGTTCAGGGGAAGAGGCAGGGTTCACCCTGGACAGGTCGCCAATTTGTCGCAGGGCAACACAGAGACAGACAGGACACACAACCATGCACACACACTCACACCTAGGGAGAACTTAGAGAAACCAATTATCCTGACAGTCATGTTTTTTGGACTGTGGGAGGAAGCCGGAGTACCCGGAGAGAACCCACGCATGCACAGGGAGAACATGCAAACTCCATGGAGAAAGGTCCCGGACTGGGAATCGAACCCAGAACCTTGTTGCTGCAAGGCAACTGCGCCACTGTGCAGCCCTGTAGGTTTTCCCCTCTTTTATTAATTGAATTAATTAAATTAGTAGCATGAACAACAACACAAAAAAATTGGATTTCAGCAAAAATTACAATTGAGTACCAAGAACTGCTGTGTGATCATATAGCTAATGCAAAACACCGAACCTGGGTGTGAACACAGGCATGCCCAGGCCAGGCTCTGGAGTGCAAAAATGGATATGTTTTTTCTTGGAGATGCTGAAGCATACCTAAAACCAAACCAACACAGTTGTCCTAATGTGGCTACATGGAAAGGAAATGTTTCATTGTTAAAACACATTTACAGTGCTTTGTTGCCTTAAACTAATATGCAAGCCAATGTTTAGCAATGTTTGAACATTGTAAGAATGTATTAGAATTAATACAACTTTTTCCTATAGTAATATCTGTGCTGAGTTGGGAGTGGCAAAGTAAAATTTTATTAGCATAGCAAACAACCGTTTTTGTGGGAAGTCCTTTTTCTGCCGTTATTGTGCCCTAGGCTTTTATTGCATAATATTTCTGTGGTAATTCAGGTGAGATAACAGTTTTTTCAGTATTTAGTAACACGAAGCATTCTAAACCGTAAGTATATATAAGGAGATAACAGAGGATTGGCAGTAGAGAGCCAGCAGTTCTTCACCTCTTCAGAGAAGTCTCTTGTAGTCATTAGTAGAGGTAAGATGCATGTTTTTAAATAATTCAAGGTATTATGAGACTGAATTTAATGATAGTAAAAACAAAACTTTATCTGTTATACTATGTTGTTCTGTTTACCATCATGATACTGTAACTGAATGGCTGGACATACAGATTCATCTCCCGATAGTCAATCTGAATGTGTCAATGACTTTTCTTTCAGTTGTCAGAATTGATTCACTGTAGAGTGAAAATGGTGACCTATGAAATAACTGTGGAACATTCCACGGAATCGGAGAGCTGCACTCTGCCGCATGTGGACTTGAAGTTGGTGGGAGAAAAAGGAATGACCAAATCAGCTCCACTGTCTGAAAATGATAACTACAAAGAATTGGTATGCCTTGTTAAAAACTTGAATCTTGATGTTGCAGCTATGAGAAAATGCATTTTATTTGTTCTGGTGTCATCTTATTAACTTTCATTTTCTTAGGTGTCAAAATGTACTATAGATTGTGATGACCCCATTGGAAAACTGTTGCGAATAGAGATTAAGAAGAGGCCTTTATATGTGGTTGAAAACAACTGGTTTCTCAAAAATATAAAAGTCAAAGATCCCAATGGAGAAACCTACTACTTCCCAATATACACCTGGATTACTGACTGTAAGAAACATTCCTTCAATGAGGGTCAAGGTTTGTGCAAACTTGCTCATCTGACATCTCCATGCTGTGCATAAACAAGATATTTGTTTTTTTTCTGTCTGGATAGTTGAGCAGTCTTATTGACAGGATTGAAAGGGTTCATTTAAGTTGGTTGGCTTTGTTGTATGGACCAAGTTTGGGAGCTCTATGCACAAAATCGAAGGGTTTTGTGCATAGAAAACCCTTCGATTGAAATTGAGATTAGATTAAGGAGACTGGGGCATAGTCTCCATAATCTATTCTTGAACTAGCTTTGATTTGTATTTAGGATCATTTTTATGTTTGCAGCACCCAACTGCATCCATGTTTAAACCATTTCACTTAATTTCAACCATTTAAGGTCAACTGAAGATTTTGGGGTAGTCCATGGTCTTTATAATTTAATCTTTAATCTGGTGTGTCACTCGTTTTTATTTTGGGCCATATCGAGATCACAACTGTCTTGAAAGGGTTGGCTGTAGCAGAATGTATTAATAAAACTACCTATTACAAAAACTGTGGCAGTATTAATAAATAGCTGTCTCTGCATTCATTGAGTACTTCTTGAAGTTAAATATCAAACATATTTTCATCTTAATGCCATTTGAAAGTATACAGTTAAGAACTGCTGTGATTTGACTGATAAAATATTTAAGCAGAGAACTTTTTATCTTGAAAGTTCCATTTACTTGAGGGACACAAAGAACTTATAGGCGGCCAGATTTAACATCTTTGATATGTTCTTGTTTCAATGTTCTCCTTAGCTTTGATTGCCAAGAAGGAGCTCAGTCCCTCTGGTCGCTTCAATCGGCACAAAAAACTTTCTCAACTAAAGGAAACATATTGGTAAGTAGAGTTTGTATACAAATTACAGTTATACACATAAACTTCTTTCATTTTGGGTTGACTAACAAGTAAACATTTATTTGACAGATCCAATGAATTTGTGATTGCAAAAAAAAAAAGTCAAAGCTACTACATTATATAGTATGTATATAATCACACTGGGACCACAAATTCACTATCACACTGTCATAACTTTATTTTTTTTTCAGCTGGCAAGTGTTTGAAAAGGGAATACCTCACCATATTCAGGCAATGCTACCGTCTCACCTGCCTAGGAATGATCAGTTCATTGAAGTCAAGCAAGATGAGTTCAAAAAAAATCAGGAACAAACGTGAGTCCCTCTATTGCAAATATGAAGTGTTAAAATATACAGTGAGTTTTATCTTATATCAGACATACTTCTATATTTTAAAATGTATATTGTGATTCTTATTTTACAGCGTTGTTTGGAAAAAATTGAAGGAATCCACTAAGTGTTATGATACATGGCCAGATTTTGAACAGATCAGTGAGCTGATGGATTACAGCAAATATGACATCCTGGGTATGTGTCATTATGTAAGGTATCAAATTACAATGCAACTTACATATAAGAGGAAAATTGCTACATTTGAACTGGTATTATTTCACAATTCATCCACAATATAAGTCCATCTTTATCCATACATATATAGTCATGTTTTACTTACACACACAAACACACACCTACATCCCAAGAAAAAAGATGAGCAGAGATTTCCTTTGTTACAGGCTATGTCAAAGACAACTGGAAGGATGATGCTTTCTTTGGCTACCAGTTTCTAAATGGTATTAATCCCATGTTGATCCAACGCTGCACTTCCCTGCCTGACAACTTTCCTGTCACTGAACACATGATCTGCCATTACTGCAATTTGCCTCAGGAAATTGAGGTAATTAACCTTAAAAAGATGAGGAAATAAAAAAAAAAAAATCAGTGGACTAATGGTTTCTTTTACTCATTGGGGTGATGTATGCCAGATCTTAAATGTCTTCACAAATGCAAAGTTGATTTCCCGTACATCTAAGGCAAGCTCTTACTATTTTGCTCTAAAATTAAACAGAAAGGCAACATATATCTGTGCAACTACCAGATTTTGGATGGGGTAGCAACAAGAGACATCAAAGGAAAAAAACAATATCTGATGGCTCCACTTGTCCTGCTCCATAAAACAGCCGAAGATAAACTGATGCCTATTGCTATTCAGGTAAGATGTCACTTTCATGAAAAACTTTTTAGTATACATAGATATATGGTCTTATTATGGGCATAACTGTGCACTTTTTAAAATAGCATATTTTGAAAAACAAAAAAAGACAACTCTAGCAGTGTTTCTTTGAACTCCATGTTCTCTTCAAGGGACAGCATGGTTATTTATTCAAAGAGGAAAAGTTCACAATAGTGAAAGACCACATCAGTTTTTAACATCAGAATCAGAATAAGAACGCCTTATTGTCATTGTACAGAAGCACAACTAAAGTACATTTCAGTACAGCCTATCCGGAGAAGACAAAAAAATAGATGGAGCCCCGGGTGCTCCCGTCGCCCAGGGCTACAGCCCTACAGCCCTGGGCAAGGGGAGCACCGCCCTTTCAACAGATGAAAGAAATTACATTTGGTAGGATAGGATGAGGACAAAAAACGTTTTTTTTTCATTATTAAATTATTAATTTCCTCAATAAATTAATAATGTCTTAATTCAATCAATAAATTACATCTTCTTAATCAGTTCCGCAATCTTGTAGTTCAGCTTTTGTGTTAAATTCATACTTAATTTCAAACTTGCTGTCAATCAGAGTCAAGTCTTTGTTCTAATAAACTATAATTGAATAAAAATCTGCAGTTAAATTTAAAACCATAACAGCAAAACCTTTAAGAAAAATGCAAACAAAAAAATATTGTTTTAAACCTTGTGTTATTTTTATGTCAATTAATAATCAATTTCAAGCAAACAGAGAAGCTAACCTACACATTTCTTTTTTTTTTTCCTGCAGCTGCAGCAGAAGCCAGGAGCAGACAACCCGATCTTCCTCCCTTCTGATTCTGAGCATGACTGGCTGTTGGCAAAAATTTTTGTGAGAAGTGCGGAGTTTAATTTCCATCAACTCAACTGTCACCTGCTGCGCACTCATCTGCTGTCAGAAGTCTTTGCAGTATCACTGATGCGCAACTTGCCCATGGTGCATCCTCTATACAAGGTAATAGAAGCTGTGGAGACACAAAATTTTGTATTGTTTATATTAGTACTTAGTTTACATTGTTTAACTCTATGACTTTGTCCAGGTGTTTATTGAATTAGCAGTTGTGTATGTCTAAAACAAAAAATATAGCATGAAAAAGCAACAACATCTAATTCAGTTATAAGTATGCCTAAAAGAGTTGTCTTTGTCCTCAGCTTCTTATACCCCACTCTCGCTACACTCTGCACATTAATACCATGGCTCGATTAATTCTAATATCTGAGACCGGTGCTTTCACACAGGTGAGAAAGACATTGTTTGGGGAATACCATTATTTATGTCATTTCCAAATAATCCCTTTGTCTTTGAATTAACTTTTCACTAGGTGGCAGCTTCGGGTGGAGAGGGTATGATCCAAATCCTGAGGAAATCCCTGTCCTCAATGACATACAGGTCCCTATGCATACCCGATGACATTGAAGACCGTGGGATGAAGGACATCCCAAACTTCTTCTACAGAGATGACGGACTTAAGCTGTGGGACATTCTACACCGGTACAATTGATTTGTCCTCTTCCTGTAATTATGTTTTTAAACATAGAGAGTCAAAAGTACGATTGATGTTTTATTATTCAATAGGTGAAAAAAAAAACATTTTTAAGGATTTATGTTTTTAAATCCCCTTCTTCCTTTGAGTATATTTGTCTTTAACCTGTCATTCACGAGAGGACCCAAATTTGGGTCCTCTCGTGAATGACAACCTGTGAACAACAGGTTAATAAGTGTAATAATTATTAGCTAGTCATGTAGAAACCCAAAACACTTCTTCTTATGGAGCCCAGGTTTTTGACCCCATAAGTGCTGTTGATTCCCACAATATGTTTGGAAAACACACCACACATTACACCAAACATTACAAACCTTTAAATACAAGATCACCCAGACTCAAAGAGTCGCAGTTCTTTAGGCTCAACTCTGAGAGTACAAGGACAGTTGGGATGTAACCTAGAAAGAAAACACACACCAGAAAGAAGACCACCACAAAAGTCTGATATATGCCAGCTAAACAAACAAATACACAAAATATAAATCTTGCCTTTATTAGCATCAAAAATAATTACAAATTAGTGCAAATAGTGAATTTTATGAGGAGATATGAAGCTTCTCTTACCTAGTGTTCAACACTGGCAAAACACAGAATTTAGACCTGGAAAGCAAACAATGGGCATGATGTTACTTATTACTTCACTTTTTTTATTCTTCTGGTAAAACCAGCAGAACAAACTTATTGTTGTCTTGTAATGAAGTGGGTAGAGCTGTACTTTGGTTGACAGGTGAGGGGGTTGGCTTGGAGTTGCTAGGTAATAAAATTGTAGCAACAATTTAGAGGTTTTTGAAAGACATGATTTTGCAGACACCAGTACATTTACTTTTTTCCAAAAAATGGCTGGGTGTTTTTTTTTCTGCTCCAGAGCTGTTTTGAGATGCAGTAGATAACTAAACAGAAGTACAGAAACATGTAAAAAGTAATTTTTTTTCCCATATTAGTTGACCTTTGGATACAACAACAATATTGCTAAGTTGGCAACAGTGATCTCACTTCAAGGTGATGTCATGTTCTGCTTTGCTTTATGGCCGTCCCTGCTGCATGTCACATGTGTTGTTTTGAGACAGTCTGACTCTGTACCACCACATACCGGCAGATACTGTTATTATTCTATATCCTATCTGGGTTTAGAAAAAAAAAAAAAAAAAAAAAATATATATATATATATATATATATATATGATCCTTGATTGGGATGTAACGAACAATTCTGATCAAGTGTAAAACCACATGATCGGCTCGGGACATCCCTGATTTGAAAACATGGAAATATTTAAAACAGAAAACAAAAACATTATGAATCTAAAATCCAAGTGGATACAAACTGAATATTGAATGCAAATACTTACAAAATTCACAAATTCTTTGAAAATATTTAAAACGATTAATTTTAAAGTATTAGACCATGACAGTGACCTCACCAAAAATGACCTTTTCCTCACCTTTCGCTGAAAAATTTACAACTTTTTTCTTTAGGTTTACAATATAAATAAGTATCTGTATCTCAAACCACACATTCTTTCATATGTTATTTTTTTCATATAGTTGTAAGGTAAGCCTTTAATGTAAAATTAATCTATTTACAATTATACCGTCCTCCATCTGGAAAAGTTTTGTCGAAGGAATCCTAAAGCACTACTACAAGACTGATGATGATGTTCAAAACGACCGTGAACTAGAAGACTGGATATGGGACATTTTTGAGCATGGATTCCTTTGCCCAAAAGAAAAATCAGGTAGGTTCTTATCCTGTTTAACCAAGATTCTGCTTAAAACAGGATATGCAAGTGTAAAAGTATAATTTCGTTTGGCCCTGTGTCATGTTTCTTTTAATGCGCTAAGATTAGGCTCCTAGAGGGGCCCCAACCTCAACTCTATTGAAAATGTGTGGATTATTCTTTCAAAAAAGTATCTAGTTAATGAGGGAGTGGGGGGAATCCCAACATCTTAAATGCATTCTTTTAATTTAGCAATGGATAGAGTTTGAGTTATTCATCCAGTATGTTTATCAGAGTCTGTTGATGGTTACAAAAATTGCATGGTGTGGATGTTTAAAAACCAAACAAGAAACAACTTGTATTCAAGTTGTTTGTCGTTTGCTTACACCACTCTGGGAAAAAATACCTAAACTGATAATATTGCCAATATTTTGTTTATAGAGAAAGCATACTGCCTATTATATAGTAGCAAATATAAAACATTCCTCAATATTTTTATTTTTAAATTATCAGGAATCCCCCTGGACTTTAAGAATGTGAATGATCTGGCCAAGTTCGTGACTATGGTGATCTTCACTAGCTCAGTCCAGCATGCTGCTGTGAACTCTGGACAGGTGAGGTTTTATATTTTATTGATGAAATTTGCTCACCTATTCTTTTTTGATGGATAACACTATATAAATTTTTATGTGGTTTATCATTGATTGATGCATTTTAGAAAACCAATAACCAAACTGAACCATTCTAAATTTAAAGTTTTATTTATTTACACTTTAATCACTTTGTAATACTGTCCTCAACAAATGCTGACAAACCGTTGTTATTAGAAGTTGTTTGTGTTTTCTGAAATTGGAAATTCCTAGGCCAGTTTTTTTTAAAGGTGTTTGATAGTTACAAGAAAATATTGCATGATTATTCATTCTGGTTTACTTTATGATGTGTAGATCTTCCGCATTGCTAGGTCCAACAGTTTGGTGAAACAAGAAATTGTAAAGAGGCTTGTGTTGTATTATTCCATAATCCCTTACAACAAAAAATTTTTGAACACACACCAAAAAGAATATCAAACACATCAAATTGTTTAATTAATTGTCATATACTATGCCTTAAAACTTAACAATCATGGTTACTTGTGCATCTCAGTTTGACTATGGTGGCTGGATGCCCAACCTGCCAAGCACCCTGCGACGTCCCCCACCATCCACAAAAGGGGAAGCAACTGAGGCCACAATACTGGAGACACTGCCAGACAAAAGCATAACACTTGCAGCCATGACCACGTTGTATTTGCTGTCTAGGAGATACAGTGACTTTGTAAGTGGGAAAACCTCAAAACACTCTCAAAATTGTGTTCAAGTTGTGTAAAATACATTTATTCTATCTGTGTGTCAATTAGTTATCAACTGTTAAAACAGAACAGAGTTTTGTTCAGTATATTTTAAACAAATCCCTCACCTCATTATATCAGGTTGTTTCAGGTAAACATCATGCTTAAATTAGTTAACATGTATATATATGCTGTACAAGTGAAAATCAAAACATACTCTAGATTTGCTAAAATACATGCAGCTGTTTTTTTTTTTTACCTCTTTATACATAATTTTCAATTGTCTTTACCTGATATATTTAAACATCAGCAGAAAATATTGTAAGTGTATGATTTATTTCATCAGGTTCCTTTTGGCACTTACCCTGAGCATCACTTCACAGAGGAGCAACCCCTGAAGCTGATGGAAAAATTCAAAGAAGAGCTGAAAGAGCTAAGTAAAGTTATCAAGGAAAGAAACATCAAACTGGATGTCCCATACAAATACCTGGACCCAGAAGAGATTGAAAATAGTGTGTCCATTTGAAAATTAGATGATCAGACATGTTCCATATCAAATTCAGTCACTAATTCACAAAAATGAGCTAAGGAGGAAATGCATGTTTTACCAATCTTTTCTGGTGTCGCACAAGCGATAGTCTTTTGGGTCTTTATTAATAACATAAAGCACGGTTGTTCTGCAGGATGACTAGTTAAGGTTGTTTCTTGGATTAAGAAACCAGGTACCAAGATCAAGTACAATGTAGAACCTCTTTGGGATACTTGGATCTTGAGATTTGTGCTTATTGTTGTTTCACTACATAAATTAATCAGTGTGCTTCATCTACCTTGCACAACTATTGAAGTAGTTAGATATTGTTGACCAAACAACCAAAGCAGTACAAATACATGTAGTACATTGTAGGGTCTAGTTTGATTAGTAGGGCTTTTTGATTAGTCAAAGTGTAAAAACAGTGAGCATATTTGTGTGTATTGGTGTTTCAACTGAAAAATAAACACATCTGGCCTGTGGATGTTATGGTGGGGTGACGGTTAAACTTACTTGTTAGATGATCCATTGTCAGATTTCTATGTGGAGATTGCTGGAATGCATTTGCTATCTTGACGGGTGAAAATTTGAGTTTGTGTTTTTTTTTTTTAACATATATTTAAATGGGGCTGTAGTGTGGTCTTCAAAAATGCCTAGACGTTTGAAAAGGGTTACAAAAATATTAAGATAAGAAACAGAATTCAGTTGTTGCCAGAATAACATTTTTCATTTTAACTAAAAAAGTGTTATTTTCCTTTCTTTATTCAATTATTTTCAAATGACTATTGTATTGTTATGGGTGGTGGATTTACATTTGTTCTGTACTTTGCTAATTACCTAAATAGCTCTGTAAAATGTTGTATTAATTTTATGGACCACATGATTTGAGAACCGGTTCAATCAATATGGAAACAGTTCTAATATTTTAGGTGATATTTGAATGACTATTTGTTTAAAAAGTTAGAACACAATAGGTATATTATAGCACACAACTATGATTTTTGAACCATGTCACAGATATTAGATTTGCAAGCAATATAAATGCTCAGTCGAAATGAATAAACATTTCAATTGGTGTTGGGGGAAAAATGTTTTGTTTTCTTTGAAACGCCAGTTGGAACTTATTTTATTGTTTGTATGTTAGTTTATATTTGTGGATTTTTTCAACAGTATGAGCAAATTTATTGGAGTGTTATTTTACTTATTTAACTTTGTTCAAAAACTTGTGCTTTAAGCTACTCTTCAGAGTGAGCTTGTTTACTCACCATCAGTCTTCTTTTTACATAAAAAAAAATCAAGTCTTAATATTGCACCATCTTGAAAAAAATACAATCGAAAGGGTACCTCATAGAAAATTAATAATTAATAAAATTAATAAATCTTTTGCTAAACAAGCAAAAGATTTGTTCACCTGAGACTATTTCCCAAATTCTTCACAAAACTGCGTAAAATTTATCAGTTTGATAGATGGTTCTCAAATCATGCCACAGGTGGTCAATAATATTTAAGTCTGGAATTTGATACATCCATTCTGCAAAAGTATGTTTTAATCTGAACCAGTGGTCTCAAACTGCAGCCCTGGACACTTTTGGATGTGTATATTCTAAACAAACGACTAAACTCCCTCACTTGCATGCAGTCAAGCTCTACACAATAATTCTCCTAATGACCAAATATTGGAGCTGGTGCTGAAGCAGAGAGACTTCTAAAAGTTGCAGGAAACTAGCACTTTGAGAACTGGAGCTTGAGTTTGAGAACACTGATCTAAACCAATTATTTATTCATTGTATCTCTGGCTGCATTTTTAGAGCCCTGCTGGAAGTAATACCTCACTGCAATTTTAAGTCTTCCATTTATTTTGACCAGCTTGATTTTTCCTACTGAGTATTTAATGCCACTACCATGTTATAACGTAGTGTGTGAACGTTGCAGTGCAGTTTCAACTTTCAATCATATTTAGGGCATGATCTACAAAGATTAAAAATCTCTGCTTCGCTTCACCACCTGATCACCCTGATGTATACTCTCCTGCAAACCCAGAAGTTTTAATATCAGCCCCTATGAATTACCATTATGAGATTATTCCCTCCAAAATGTTTCCACTTTTATCACATTGTTCCCATTAAAATAATTTTCCAATAATATATTCTAAGAATCCCTAAAAAAAGACACAAAACATTTTAAGAATTTTGAACATTTGTGTCCTATTGTCTGTATACATCAACATTGAAATAAAAGATTGCCAAGTCATTTATAAAAAAATTACAGAAGAAATACTAATTGCAGTGTCCTCATAATGAAAAAATTCACTATCTGCCTTCTCCTTCTCCCTTCACCCTCAAAACAAAGTAATAAGAGCATGGGGAGAAATGCAGCTTGAACTAAGCACCAACCTCATCTCATCTGAGTGAATTAATCAATAAATACTCCTGTATTTATTTTAACAGTCACTGCAGTTTTATTCTTAAACAGTAGGAGACACTGGTGAGAAAGAAAAACTTATTCAAGAATAAATTCACAAACAATTTCCTTTCCCTACATCTGCATAAGCAGGGCTTGACTGATGGAAACATCAGACAGATAAGGAAGATTTCCCCTTCCTCCTAAATGGAAAGTTCTAGAACTATGCAAATTGCTGATGTAACTCCTCCTCACACGGATAGAGCCCACTCCCAACTGCTCTTATCTTCCTGTTCCCCTGCAGATGCCCATCCCACTTTTTAGTTTATGTTTGAATGAGCCAATAGAGATAAAGGGGCAGAATTTGTGTTTTTCTGCTTTCAATATTTTCGAAGGTCCTCTCATTCTACTTGTTGCATTTGGGGAGGGGAAAATATTCCCTGTCTGACTGATTAAGGTAAGTGTTTGATTTAATAGAAGGTTTCAGAATCCTGTCTGTTTTATGAAGATAAGACTTTAATTTAAATCTGGAAATTGACGATAAGGATTTAATACAATGAAAAGGCTCAAATTATACAATAAAAACATGTTCCATAAGGTCATATAGAGCCTTATTAAACAGATGGTCATGCGCGATAACATAGATTTTTTTTATTTGGGGGTGCCTTTTTAATCCATCAAACTCGATTAATTAAATTTTGACAGGTCGAGGAATCCTTAGTTTTTTTGGTCTCTAAAGTGAATTTAATCACGGTTGCTCTTCTGATACAATCATGTTTTACATCTGTGAATTAGTACAAGTTTGTTAATCTTTGCATCCCCATGTGACCTACCAAAGAATATTTGAAATACTGATGCTAAATTATGTCCAGGAACATAGTAAGTTCTCCTTAATTTTTTCATGATTAAAACCATTTTCTTTACCATAGTCAATCTCTGTGCTTGGGTCCTTTTCTAACAAGTCCTCTGTAATGTAGCTCTTATTTTGCTGAAAGTACACTTGAACTTTGCCACTGATGGATAATCAAGGGTTTTTCTGTTTTCATTTTAATTTTATTTAATTTTAATTACTAAATTAAAAGTAACAGATTTTTTACTGTCTGGGGGATCGTAGAACAATGACTAACAGAACTAGTATGACACTAACTCCAAAACACAAAAAGCATTGAGAAAAGAAAAAACAATTGTTACAGAAATTGGTTACAAAAACAAACTTCAAACAATATGAGTAAGATATCACACCTTTACTTTACGTGCATTATCCTGTAGAAAAATTGAAGAGCTGAATACACTTCAATACAGTGAATTTTAGGAAATTTATTTCAATTGTTTGTTTGGGTACAAAAGTGTAAGCAAACGTGTAAGTGAAAAGCACAATAATTGTTTTCTGCTTAAAAACATTTTTATTTGCACTTTGACATAGATTCTTACACAGGTATTTTTAAGCAACAAATTAGAGAAACTCACTTTCTAAACTCTATAGGGTCGGTACACTCACTCGTCTGACTCCATATTTCTCTGCATGCATCCCAAATAATAACATTGCATTCAAATTTGAATTATACATTTAAACAAAACTGAAATAAAATTGAAAATAATTATCATGTCCCCTCTGCTCCCCCCCAACATGTTCACAAAAGTTCCAATAATACACCTAAAATAACATGAAACACATCAGTGTGGGATTATTATCAACTATGAAAACTGAGAGGAAACTTCTCTTACTTCCCTAAATAGCCACACTGTTTTCTACCTCCTCTGGATCCAAGTATGTGTACGGCACTTCCAGAGTTTTGTTTCTCTCTTTGATTGCTGCACTCAACGCCGCCAGCTCCTTTTGAAAGTTCGCTATCATCTGCCGTGGAGTCTCCTCACTGAAGTGGTCCTCAGAGTACTGGCCAAGAGGTGCCTGATAAAATCAAGGACACTTAGTTTTTCTGCCACCGAGATGCAAATGTTTGAAACATGTAGACAACTCGTGTAAACATATAGAGCCATGAAGAAGTCATGGAGTTGCATAGTAACATTTTACCTTATATACAGGTTCATCTCAAGAAAATAGAAAACCGTGAAAAACCTAAATCATTAGGTCTTTCATATATTATAAAGATGAATTACACCAACCATTTATTTCTGCTCATATTGTGAATGGATTGAAGCTACAGAAAACCCAAAATGACATTTATCATGAAATGATAACACTTTTAAATTATTTACTACTTTAATGAGATTGACCTGTTCAAATGTTCTTGATATAGCTTGACCATATGTTTGCAAAACACACTGAAGTGTGAACACTCACAAAGTCACTGGACTGCTGGCTGAGCAGCCACATGATGGCCATGCCCTGAACTGTGGTGTTGACGTCCGGCAGTGTTTTCAGCATCGTTTCTTCAGTCGCTTCCCCTTTTTTGGTGGGAGGTGGCAGTTGCAGGGAGA